ATCTCGAAAATAGTTCATCCAATATAAAAACATTAATTAATATTAAAATTAATATTATTGCTCGCACATGGTTTATTTTTAGTGCATTTTTAGTAAGCAAAAATTAAAAAAATATTGTTAAAATTATTATACAGGGGTCGGCATAAGTCAGGCAACCAAATTGCATTAAGAGCATTAATTTTCATTCGGAAAACGCGTCCACTCGACGAGCACGTGTTATCATATTCATGACAGACACAACTGTCTGAAGCACGAATATGCTTCGTTTTAATATTTTTCGACAGCGTTGCCAGACTTATGAGCGTTGCCAGACTTATGCCGACCTCTGTATTACGGACATAATTTCGGAACAATAACAAGTTATAAAAAACATATACAGGGTGAGTCAGAAAGAATGGATCAGCAATAAGCTGGAGATACTAGACACCAAAACATTATGTTTGAGCTCATCATGCCTTATACGAATGTCGCTGGTTTAAAAAATACAGAGTGTTTAAGGTTTAAATTTTATTTTGAAATTTCTCAATAATTGAAAAAGTTTTAATAGTATGAATGACTGAAAATTGGTAGTATTGGGTTTTTGGTGTGAGAATTACGAATTTGAAGCTTATTTTGACGTTGCTCCTAGAGCGCGCTAGTTTCGCCGTATTATTTAGGTAAATCAAAACATATTTTTTTTATCTATTGAGCTATGCTTAAGAAAAGTTTAAAATCTAAAAGAACGTTCAATTCTACATACAAAATGTACTCTTGTTTAGGTCGCCTGACTTTATCGGTTTCTAAGTTATTTGCATTAAAAAGTTTCAATGTATGTATTTTGTGGAAATTTTTTATTCTCAAAAATTGATAATAGTAACAATAACAAACCTTAAATCAAATGCTGGAAATGTCCACCACCTACCTCAATACATTTTACTATACACCCTCTTAAATGTCTATGAGTATTAAACAAAATGTCCCATTATTTTTAAATGCACATTCGCGGCTACTTGTACTTTCTGCTGCAACTCCTCAACAAAATTAATTTCTTCACGATACACCCCATCCTTCAAGTTTTACCATACTGAGAAGTCCAGAGGGTTTAAGTCTGGACTTCTCGGTGGCCAACAAAATTCACTCGCACTGGCAAGGCAAAATATGGTGGCGTACCGTCGTACATAAACCACATACTCTCTTAAAGCGAGTGGTACATTATCTAGAAGCGCGTTTAAATTATGTTGAAGAAAGTTTAAATAATGAGGTCCAGTTAGATTGGGTGATAATTCAAAAGGTCCTATGAATAAACGAAAAATTAAATCACCCAAATATTCACCTTAAACTCATGCTAAAAATGTCTTTCTTTTGCATGCGGAATCCCACAAATGATTGTTCTTCCAATTGAAAACTTTCCGTCTAATAAATGTCGCCTCATAGGTAAAAAGAATCTTACTGAGGAAATCTGGGTTTTCCATTTGCATATTTTGTACAAACTGAGCAAATTGTAGGCGAGCTGGTAAGTCTTGAGGCAATAACTGCTGAACCGGAGTATAATGATATGGATGGAGCATTTCCTTTTTCAAAATTCTACAAATGGAAGGATTGGCTTACCCCCGTTGCCGCACTTAACCGATGAGTACTCATATCGGAATTTTCCGAAACACGAATTAAAATTTCCTCTTTTTCATCGACTGTGATAGATTTTGGAGTACCATGGTTACTTTTTGGTCGAAAAGATCCAGAATCTCCTAAGCGGTTGTAAAGATTTCTGAATAGTTTATAATTAGGTTGCAATCTATTTGGGTACATGTGTTCATATCTTCGGGCCGCATGTCCATTAAAATTAACCTGGGCAAAAACACAAATCATATCACGCATCTCACTTTTTGAAAAATTATTATGTAGCAGTATTTTTTGATCACTAGCTAATAAATTTTGCAAGAATAATAAATCACACGCACGCAAAATATTATTGACATGGAAATATGACACAAGTCTATTTAGAAAAGAAATAGCAATATCAACGCCTGAATGAAAATCACCACAAAATACATTGAAACTTTCAAATGCAAATAACTCAGGAACCGATAACGGTGACCTAAACAAGAGTACATTTTTTATGTAGAATTGAACGTTTTTTTAAACATAGCTCAACAAATAATAAAATATGTTTTGATTTACCTAAATAATACGGCGAAACTAGCGCCCTCTAGGAGCAACGTCAAAATAAGCTTCAAATTCGTAATTCTCACACCAAAAAACTCAGTAGTACTACCAATTTTCAGAGTCATGCTATTAAAACATTCTCAATTATTGAGAAATTTCAAAATAAAATTTAAACCTTGAACACCTCGTATTTCGTAAACCAGCGACATTCGTATAAGGCATGAAAAGCTCAAACATAATATTTTGGTGTCTAGTATCTCCAGTTTAGTGTTGACCCATTCTTTCTGACTCACCCTGTATAATAAATAACTGTTTCATTGTAAAAAAATTGAGGTGTACAGATATTAGTACACTCTTATAAATAATTATAAAACAACCTGTCACTTTTAGAGAACACTACAGAGAGACCGCATATTAAAAAGTAAAATATATAAACAACTATTTGTACAGGGTGTGCCACTGTGATCACTTTCACTAACTTTTCCTTTCAAATTAAAACATATTTTAAATCGGTACAAGCCATTGGCGGAGGGTTCATTTTGGCATAAAAATATTTCTTGTTATTTTCGTATTTGTAGATGGAATTGTTGGAAAGTAAAAAAAAAAGTTGTGTGTGCTGTATAGAGAATTATAATTTTGATTTTTTTTTTTCACTGCTCGCTTATTCCAAAAAAAAGTTTGACATATAGTATTAATATTATCCACTGTTTCTTAAATAAAATAAATAATTTTTTAGCACAGTTAGTTAAAAAAGTCAATAATGAAATTGTCTAGCATCATCTTTATTAAGCAGAACTGTGATATTAAATAAGAATTCTTTACATTATTGTTTTTTTAATAGTAATTTTATTTGTTCATTTATTGTTATTTTTTAATTTGCAGTATGGCAAACTACTATAAAAACTCCTTAAGAAATGTCACAAATAATTACAGAGATAATATATGTATTAACATTTTAATTTTACAAATTTATTGTCGTCTAACATCCGCTTTTGTTTTGTAAGTGAATAATTAAAAATGTGTATACATACAGGGTAGCCCATCGAAAACGTACCGCAAGGCATTACAGGGTACTAAAGAACTTTTCGGCAAAATCCAAAAACAGGTCAAATTTGTTTCTGAGGGGGACAACTTTTGGCTCAAAAAGCATACCAAAAGTTTCAACCCCCTAAGTGGGGGTGCTATCCCCTAATTTTTTTCAAATGGGAATGGGGTCAAGTGGGGGGTCATTAGAAAGGGCTTTTAATTCTCTATACATCGATTCTTACTTTTTGAAAATCGATCCATTATTTTAGAAAATATGCAGCTTTGAAAATACGAACAATATTTTTGACGAGAAATGCGAAAATCGATTTAATTTTACTTCAAAACTTACAGTATTAGCTTGGTTAATTCCTTCAAAAGAATTCGCTGTTTTCTTTTTCTGATTTGAGAATTATTTAGCCTGATTTTGGTGAGCAAAAAATTGTCCGCTTTTTGTTTCGTACTTAGGCATTAATTTATACAAACCCGTAGTATGTCCCGTTTTTAGACGAAAGACGTTTTATTCAAAAAGTTTCAAAATCCCGCTTTGCCCGAAAAAAAATCTGGCAACGCTGACAATGGTATACATATGTATGGCAAATACATTATTTTTGCCAAGTGGCCTTTCGGAGTTACAGCCTCCTGATATCCGTCCCTAAAATAGTCTTTTTTTATATTTCAGAACCCTGTTGTACGAGAATCACTAAATTTAGTACACAGGGACTTTACGACGTGGAATCTGATAGTGCTACGCTTTTTGGCGGGGAATCCCCTTAAGACAATTTTTCGTGGGCCCACTTGTCTTTGGAGCCATAAAAATTTGGTCGCATACCTATTTAAATTTCTTAAAATTATTAATCTGCTAGAAAGCCATTAAATTTAGAAAGAATTTTGTCTCTTGATACTTTTTTCGTAAAACGCAATGTTTTCGAGAAAAATGTCAAAATGTGATCGAATGCATATCGTGATTCAACATTTTTCTCAAAAACATTGCATTTTACGAAAAAATATCAAGAGATAAAAAAGTTCAATGGCTTTCTAGCAAACTAATAATAATTTTTAAGAAATTCAAATATACGATTAAATTTTTTAGGTTCCAAACACAAGGGAGCTCACGAAAGTGTCTTAAGGGGATTCCCCGCCAAAAAGCATAGCACTATCAGATTCCACATGTCATAAAACTCCTGTGTACCAAATTTAGTGATTCTTGTACAACAGGATTCTGAGATATAAAAAAGACTATTCTTAGGGGCATATTTCAGGGGGCTGTAACTCCGAAAGAGGAGGCCACTTGGCAAAAATAAAAAATACGGGTCCCCTAAATTTATCTTAAGAATCTATGACCAAATTTTGTTGCATGAATTTCCTGACACCCTGTATAAAGGTTAGAAAAAGAAAAGAATGGAAATCTGTAACATCACCATGCAATGTGATCACGATTTCCCAAAACGGACCTTCCTCGTTTTTTTGTGGCTTCGATGAACAAATGCATAGTGGCTAGTATTAAAATAATTAACAAATTGAACTTTGAATAAAAGATTTAATTCTTTAATAATTTGTCACTGTCATGGCTGTGAATAAAATGCAAACATAATTACTGGTTTTTTTTCGAAATTAGGTCCTTCTTTGGATACATACGGAGTTCCGTTTTTCTTTTAGGGTATGATTTATAGATATTATAGTCACTCTAAGCAGTTTCGATATGTATATAAAATTGGTAGTGACGCATATAAAATTGGTAGTGACTAAAATATAACCGATTTAAACCAGTTATGTACGAGATAACCAGCAAATTAATATCAAAGTCTAAAGCAAGCTCGTGGCCTCATACCTACCCTTCTGCAGAGAAGTCTTCTTCACGGGAGCGGTTTTGTCGTCAATGGAAAGAGGATCCTTGGCCAGCTTGAAGCTGCTCTGTTTAGGTTTGCGCTCTTCTAGGCTACCGGACAACTTCCTCTTGCGAGTGACCTTTTCCCGCTCATTTTGTTCATCGATTTTCCACCCGAAATATTCGTTATTGTCCATGCTACTACAGTCGTTGAGGATCGTCCAGGATTCTTCGGAGTTCGAATTTTCGTTCAACAAGACGTCAGAGTTCTCATACAGTGGGTAATCCATAATCACCGAGACCCAAGTCAAAGAAAATGAACAGACCCTCACTAGAAGGCTCTCTATTTCTACAAGACCTAAATTTCAAATTTCTACAAGCGTTTTTCTACGTTACGAGTCCTGGTTGGATTTACGTGAGCACACGGGATGTTTAAAACATAACGAAGAACGAGTTATACAACTTTTTAATCCCAGTGGTCTCGCGCTGACGACGATTCTGCAGGAAGCTGTTGTCGATGTTTAACATTTTAATTTGCAAATAACGCGACTCAATATCCATTTATCACAGAAATTTAGAGACTGACCCCCGACGTTAGGGATGTGATGCACCGGGCGACGATCTGGTATCAGAAAATTTGCGCAAGCACAGCCGTTTTGGCGAAACCAATCACACACAGCCAGTTCAAGAGGGATGAGGTCTGGTACATCCGAGTCGCAACGTCTGGGAGTAGTATTCCTTACAACCACCAGCGGATTAGAAGGTCGAAATTAGGTTACAGTGGCAGCACTGAACTGAGGAGTTGAATCACTTTGACCACCAGCTAGGGAGAATCGGGACCGACTAAACGATGTATTTGAACAACTACTTAGCCCATCAACTGCTAAATTACTTAAATTAGACTCAATTTACACATCAAATAGCGAAGAATGCGCCTTTGTGTGTTACGTGTAATAAGAAAGACTCTGCCAAGAAATAAGATAATACAATCTTGCGGGACGGACTGTCGAATATGGATGAATATCGAACGGGTAACTCGGATTTCTTGTATTTTGAAGTGGAATGAAGTACTGGTTTAGATAGGCATATATTTTTTAAATTAAGCCGCGTTTCCTTTCCCTCTTTAAAATAAAAAATCCTGATCTACGAAGTAGTCTGGCCGGATTCGCACTTGATGGCTTCAATAATAAAAATACACTTATCTTGCCTTTGGAGTTTGAATACATTCAGATTCTGAAACAAAATAAAACATGTTAATAACACTAAAAATGTGAGTATGAGATTTAACGTAATTTAATGAAAAAAGAACAAGAAATTTTGTGCCAAATTTGGCAATATTTTTTAAACAGGCCTGGTGATTATGCATGATTCCTACAATATATAATTATTTTAAATAACTTAATGTCTTTTTAATAACACTAGAGGCTTATAATTATGATATGGTTTCTGAATAAAAACGAAACGATGTATGGTTACATTTTTTTAATATACACAAGGTCTTACATTGGGTGCGACTACATTTCATATGGTACATCATCAGATTCGAAAAGAAATGTGGCATCTATTAGCGAAAACAAAATTATGATGGTTCCTAAAAGACGTCGTATTGAGAATCTAGATCCATATTTAAGTAGAGCAAACGGCATTCAATTTATATGTAGGTATAATAAAATTTCTCCGGAAACCGATAAAATTGGAATCCAAAAATGTTACATTTATCACAAAATCTGCCAAACTTATATTTCAATAACTTAAAATCATTTCAGGTTTGAATGGTGGAATTTATCGAATTAATAATAATATAATAAAATTAAATAGACGTATTTTCTAGGTTGCATTATACATTATGTGCTTATAATAATGATCTTGTCCATCTAGTATAGGGTGAACTGAAAGAGCAAATGGGAAACAGCAAAGTTGAATCTTTATAGCAAGATCCAAGTATTTGGCTTAAAATTGCACTTGGATAAGTTTACGCTCTAAGGGAAGGCCGACGTTATCGAAATTATTTTTCCCAATTTCATAAAAATAAGATCAAGCTTCTTTTTTTCCACCACCTCTTATTAAATGTTTTTCGATATCCTTTCCAAAACATTTAAGATGAATTTACAGTGGAAAACAAGGCACCTTCAATGCTTATATTATTTACTTACATGTTTTAATTATTGCTATTAAAAAAATAAATCCTCAAAAAAAAAAAAAAGTGGATATGATTCTCAAGGAGGCTTGAAGATTCGATATTAGCAATACGGTTTTGTAGACGTCGGCACTGGCAATGTTGATGGATAATAATGAGTGTTTGTCCGCGTTTTTTTTCTTTTCCTTTTCAAGTGTAGCCCCCTTCCGCACAGCCTTTGGCTTTGGATTTGGGGATTGCCTCATTTCTGTGATGTGTTTTATGTTTATGTTTATCTGTTTTTTTTTTTACGGCAGCGTTGATCAAATCAGTAGGTACGAGACTTGATCGAACTATAGTAGGATCGTATTCGATGCAAAGTAGAGCAAACAGTTGTCGGTCTTTTATCAAAGGAAAATCGTGTCATCATTTTTAGGAGGTGTAAGATAAATCATTTCAAATTTAAAATGAAATTCAATGTAAAATCTGAAATACCGCTGCATACGCACTGTGTTCTGGTAGTAGCTGTAGTCGCCCAGGTGCATCGAGTGCACGAACTGGTCGGTTATACGTCAAATACTAACCTGGCGAGCTTTGCCGTCAATTAGAGAGCGCTTCCAAAAAACAAGTAAACAACAGTGGCGCGTACAGAGGTAAAATGTAGTACATATGTGGAATTTATGAAACAAATTGGATTTATAATAAATTACATTTAAAATAAATAGTTTATGAATAAAGGAATTTTTGTAGGAACAAGGGTGCCAGACCTGAACTGATCCCCTCGTCCCTTCATAACGTATAAAGAAATTATTCAATTTGTAAAACCCTTAAAAGCGTACTTCATTGGTTCCCTTGACAGATAATGATTTATTACTTTGCATCGAATATGATCCTACTATAGTGTTTTCTCTATACATATCAATCTTTTAAAAGGGAAAAGTTACCGAAGACACTTTTTAATAAAATTTGAGAAAAGTTTTTAAAAATGTGAAATTGGGGAAAATAATTTCGATGACGTCACAGACTTAAAGGCGCTAAGAATTACGAGTATGTTTAACTTGATCCACTGATATCTAAAAAAAGCATTGACTTTTCGAAATTTGTTTATTTATTTTGACAAAAGAAAAACTGTGACTGTAAATAAAAGTTAGACTAGGCGGTATCTGTTTTGGTTTGGGTGAATCGTATCTCCACAGAGATTTTTGGCTTTCAGATATCACTAGAAATGAAAATTTTTCAATGGCATAAAAAAAAACGTGGGCTCAAATTTTGGCGGCACAATATGTTAAAAAAATTCGAAAAAAGTCATATTTTCCTTTGTATTTAATTATGTATCTTATCAAAAGTTGATTTTAGGCGAAAATGGAAGAGGAAAAAAATGTTTGTAATTAAATTTTTTACTACAATATGACTTGTTACAAATCGAATGAATCATGATTATTATAGTAAAAATAGAAACAATCGCCAAAAATGGGGTAAAAAACATTACTTTTTAGGGAATTTGTTTTGGGGTCTTTAAATTGGGTATGGAATATTCATACTGGGCTCAAGAATCATCACACCAAATTTCATCAAAATGGGTTCGATAGATTTTGCATAATAATTTTGCAATCCAGATTTTGAAAAAAAAATTGCGAATTTTCAAAATCTTGCACAGCAAAAATCAAGGCCCTTAGATATTTGAAAGTTTAATCACATATAGAAGGGCTCTGAAGTTTTCAAACGCTTTTTGAAAAAAAAAATCAAATCCGTCAATTAGGAGAGCTCTGGCGCTTGTTTAAACATTGGTCGAATTTTTGTACTTATAAACAATTAGAACTTTGTGAATATTGAGTCAAATCAAATTTTTTAAAACAGGTTTTAAAAGTTATTGGAAAGACGCTTCTTTAAAAAAGTAAAACAGATCGATTGGTCAATTAGTTACGTAGTTATAGTCGATCAAAGTTAACCATCATTTACACTACATGTACTGGGACATCCGGGCTAATTTTTTGAAAAATACCTTTGGTATTCTGAGTACTTACCAGGTCTAAGTTTGCAATACTTTTCTTCACTGGCAACCTACTTTAAAACGTGTTTAAAGTTATTTATGCAAGCGAGAAATTCAAGAAAATCGTACGGGTGGTGGTGGTGGTGGTGGAGGAAACAGAGAGCGCGGCCGCTTCGCCCTGCTCGAAATTGAATCGGCGAGTTCAAAACCGCGACGCGCTTAAAATTTTTTAATATCTCAGCTTCTAGAGGTCCGATTTTGATGATTTTTTTTTAAATCGATGTATTTTCAAATGCCTACCGTTAATAATTATTGGTCTTTCAACACTCCGATAATTATTTATCTTCCTTCCTGTCTTCCTTTAATTATCAACATATCTTTTTATGTATCAAAGGTAAGTGCATAAACTTATATACTGTTTATCAAAGATCAAAAACAAATTTATTTAAATATTCTAAAATGAAGAAAAGTAATGCAAGCTTAGACCTGGTATAACTACGTAATTAATTAACCAATCGACGTTTTTTTTTAAAGAAGCGTCTTTCCAAGAACTTTTAAAATCTATTTTAAAAAATTTTATTTGGTTGAATATTCACAGTTATTCTAATTGTTTATAAGTACAAAAATTCTACCAATGTTTAAACAAGCGCCAGAGACATGGGTTTCAACAAGACGGTACCACACGTCACACAGCCCGAGAAACAATTCAATTACTGCATGAGTCATTTCCTGGTCGTGTAATTTCCCGTTTTGGTGATCAGAATTGGTCGCCCAGATCCTACGATTTAACGCCGTTGGACTCTTTTCTTTGGAGTTTTTTTGGAGTCTAGAGTTTATGCCAACAAGCCCACGACCATCCACGCCTTGAAAGAGCAAATTGAGCGCTGTATGAACGAAATTCAGCCGCGTATGTGCGTAGAGTGCATACTTGCCAGCAAAACCGTGGAGGCCATTTAACCGATATGCTATTCCATATATAATCCTATCTGTATATTTTACGAATCAATAGAAAATTTACAATTTTTTATTAAAAACCTGTGTTTTCTATAATATTACTTGCGTGAATTTTGGGACAATTTGGAACAATTATAATGTGATGTTTATATTGGATCTATTTAAGGTCGAAGGCTGATAATTGTAATAAGTATACTGATACGTAGTGGTAGGAACGTATCATGATTTTTGTATTAAGACACAACGGTGACAGACATGTGTTCATCTTTCCTCAGAGCAAATTTAAAATAAAACACTGTTAACAATAATTATTGTAAATTGTACTCTTCAGTTTTGACCCATACCATCTAATAGGTTACGGATCC